CGGGTCAAGAAAAGAACCTGTTCTACCTGATACCAAAATGTATGTCCTTAAGGACTATGAAATACTAAATCAGATGCCTACTGAGGCAAATTACATTTGCAACATAAGCATCAAAGAAAAAAATATACCTTTCATATGGTATCCAAATAACAAGTAACCAATAAAGGAGTGAGACAATTTTCATCAGAGGATATATACTAAATGACAATGGGACTAACTCCAATTTGTTTGTATGGTGTGAACAATCTGAGATGATGCCACGATGCTGAAAAAGATGCAAGATTTCAAAAGAAATAGAATTCCCAACAGAATGCAAGTTACATGAAGACAGGAACCCTGTTAGTCTTACAGCTGTCTATCTCCAGATCCTAGATGTGTTTTGCACAAAGAAGGTAATCAATACCTAATGAAATTGACAGTAAACACTGGGAAATAAGCATACTGTCCAAATGGTACAAGTTCACATCAGATAATTTTAGAGCAGGAGACCATGACACAAACCCATCACAGGTAGAATTTTTATTTTTATTTTTTAAGCAAACCTTACAAAGTGGTAAAAGAACTTATGGTAAAAGTGGTAAAAGAACTTACACTCCTTATGGAAATATTCATTAATATATAGTGATCATCACTTGCCATTTAAGATCTCAACTGATTTGTGTTTCTATCACTGAATATGTCCCATCTCCCTTAAGCTGATTCTATTAATGCTTAGCAAAAATCGTGAGTCATAAAATAATGCAAAATAAAAATGGACGACGTGCTTCTAAAGTCTTCGTGGTCCAGCAATCTAAGAAAAAACTGTTAAGGGGCCCAATACATCGTGCTCTGTGTTTTGGCATAAGTTGTGGAACACCCTTTGCCAACTTCATCTACCTAGTCCTAATGTCAAGACTAGTCCAAAGGTTAACAATTTTCTTGACCCACAAAAAGTCATCACTACTGCTCATACCTATCTCTGACTAAAATGTTCACACTCTATCATGATTATTTAAATTCCCCCTACTCAAACAAAACCTATGGGTACCTTGTGAGCATGGGCTGATCCTCCTTGGTACATTGCAAATTGCAACACAAGTCCTGCAAAAGTAGTTTTAAATTATAATCAGAGGAAATATGGAAACATGTTAATCAATAAATTATAGTGCATCTCTACTATAGAATACCAGTTATATGAGACAGAGCTATATGTACAGATATGGGTGTCTTTGAAGTTAATATATATATATGTATGTATATATAAAATGACTCAATTCTTGTTCCTAAAAAAAGATAAATGTACCTCCCTGCAAATAAAAAGAACTAGAAGTAGACAAACTGTTAACATAGGTTATCTACAGGTACTGGGAGAAAACAGGAAAGAACAATACAATGGTCTTCATAGGCAATTAACTGTTTTATCATGTATAATATAGCTTTGAAGTTTTTCAGTAAAGTCTTTTAGTTGAATATACCCTAAGTCTTTAACAATGCTGCCAATGAGCATGTATCCTCCCTGAATATACACGAGAACTAAAAAATACATGATACCAGAGAACTGCTGCATTCTCATTATCTAGCGCATTTAACTCTAAGGTAGCCATCTCATCAACTAAGTGTATATGTGATGAGCAAGAACATGATGTGCAACAAGAACAATCACTGCATTATTTGTAACAGCAAGAGAAGGAAGAAGCCTCATGTCCATCAACAGCTATGCTATGGAACATTATACAGGCATTAAAAAGGATGAGGAAGGTCTATCTGCCCTGATATAATGTCAATGATATACATACAAACTGCAAAACTATATAATCCTACTTTTAAAAACTAATGTGTTTGCTTTTGTTTTTTTGCGATACGCGGGCCTCTCACTGTTGTGGCCTCTTCCGTTGCGGAGCACAGGCTCCGGACGCGCAGGCTCAGCAGCCATGGCTCACAGGCCCAGCCGCTCCAAGAAATGTGGAATCTTCCCGGACCCGGGCACTAACCCGTGTCCCCTGCATCGGCAGGCGGACTCTCAACCACTGCACCACCAGGGAATGGCCATCATCAAAAAATCTGGAAACAATAAATGCTGGAGAGGGTGTGGAGAAAACGGAACACTCTTGCACTGCTGGTGGGAATGTGAATTGGTATAGCCACTATGGAGAACAGTATGGAGGTTCCTTAAAAAACTACAAATAGAAGTACCATATGACCCAGCAATCCCACTACTGAGCATATACCCTGAAAAAACCATAATTCAAAGAGTCATGTACCAAAACGTTCATTGCAGCTCTATTTACAATAGCCCGGAAATGGAAACAACCTAAGTGTCCATTATCGTATGAATGGATAAAGAAGATGTGGCACATAAATACAATGGAATATTACTCAGCCATAAAAAGAAACGAAATTGAGCTATTTGTAATGAGGTGGATAGACCTAGAGTCTGTCATACAGAGTGAAGTTAAGTCAGAAAGAGAAAGACAAATACCGTATGCTAACACATATATATGGAATTTTAGAAAAAAAAGTCATGAAGAACCTAGGAGTAAGATAGGAATAAATACACAGACCTACTAGAGAATGGACTTGAGGATATGGGGAGGGGGAAGGGTAAGCTGTGACAAAGCAAGAGAGAGGCATGGACATATATACACTACCAAACATAAGGTAGATAGCTAGTGGGAAGCAGCCGCATAGCACAGGGAGATCAGCTCGGTGCTTTGTGACCGCCTGGAGGGGTGAGAAAGGGAGGGTGGGAGGGAGATGCAAGATGTAAGAAATATGGGGACATATGTATAACTGATTCACTTTGTTATAAAGCAGAAACTAACACACCACTGTAAAGCAATTATACTCCAATAAAGATGTATTAAAAAAAAACTAATGTAGGTACATACAAAAAAGATCTAGCTGAACATATGCCTATTAACAAGGATTATCCTTCAGAAGAGAGTTTGCTCATATTGGCAGGGTTTTTACTCATTCTTTGTTTAGTTTGGTTTACAAGCAGTTAAGTATTTAATTCTAATTTTTGAAAATACACCAGCCTCAAGAAGATTCAGTAACATCTGTTTCTTCTATTTCCTAGTAATACTGGTATTTTCTGTGACTTCAAGTACAATCCAAATATGCAGTATTATACTTTTTAAAATAACACAGAAGGGACTTTTTATTGGAAAAAAATTTACAATTTATGTTCACTTTTAATAGAAAGCATTAGACAAAGGCACAGCAATGTAATCTGCAATAAGACACTAAGGAAAAGGCATTGTCTTACACTGGTTTAGAGGCAATCTTTGTTGCCCTGCTTCAGGAAAAAAATAAAGCCTTCTAAAACAGGGAAAAGAAATAATTTTTCCCAGTGACCAAAATCTTAACACTGACTCAGTAAGTTGGTTAAAATGGAAGAAAGAGACTTACCTTTTCTAAGTGCAAATACTGTCTTTTGGGGAATAATCCTTACATTACCCAGATGCAATTTTGCTTAAATCAATTCAACATCCAAATGCCCACTTTCAATCAGCAAAGAGATAAGTTTAAAATGCAAATTCTCAAATTTGAGAAAATTAAGCACACTTAAAAGATATATAAGCCTACAAATCAAATAACTGACACTGCCATTTCTGGTCTTGAGGGAAATAATCATAAATAGCAAATTCTTAAGTATCCTCAATCCTTTAACCTTGCTTAAAAACAAAAGTTCATTGTGAAGGTTTAAATATGAAATCTGTGTTCTAAATCACTGTTATAGGAGGAAACAATCAGTATATCATCCTGTTTTGTTATCACTATGAACGTTAACCATTTGCAAGCTTTTTAATATCTGAAATTACTATCAATCTTTTAAACCACTTCCAACTAATGACTACCATTGACTTTATACTAAAAACACTGTAAATGCAAAGTTCTTCACGATAGGGAGAGAAAAAAAAGGTTCATTTTTATTTTTCTAATCTTTCAAATTAAATTCAAGCATAGCACAAAAATTATATTCAATACTGATTAGGTTCTGTGCCACCTCCTCCCATGAAGTCTTAATTAAATTTGAAGTAGTAATGGTCAGACAGTTCTTACAGGTGAAAGAAATCAAAACATAAGACTAAATAAGTCCCACATGCCAAAAATGCTTGCATAAAATTGACAAGAGGAATTCTGGGAAGACTAAATACCACTACTTTTACCTTCACTAAATACCAATCCAGAGTATAAATTTGTAAAGGTATATACATGACAATGAAATGGTAATATACCATGAACAGAACGCTGTCATTTTTCTAATTAAGAGAAAATCCTTTAACATAATTTTTTTACAAGTCACTACGTTGGAAATACAAAATGACAGTAACCTTATTACACTATGAAAACCCTCCAAGAGGTGGACTATTCCAATTGAACCAGAAGAAACAGATCTTCCCCTTAAAACTGAGTAAAATACAAGCAGAGTAATAATTATGATAAAAAATTTACACATATCATTTTCTATATCTTAGAGGACCCCCCAAAAAAGCTGAACCAAATCACCACATAAAGAAAGGCAGTATGATGCATTTTACTGAGTAAAAAACAGAAATTTAAGCAAATTGTAAAACCATGTGAGTGCAAAATTTGACTACGTTGCTTATTTATTCAATAGGCAAAAATATCTACCCCATTTGTTGTAGAGGTACTTAAGTATTTGTACCAAGTATCAGCTACCCTTTGTCAAAGTGACTACTAAGCAGCCTAGCAATCTTGACCGTACTTCCTGTCTCCTGAAAGCAGAACCCTAGCAATTAGAAAAAAAAAAACTTTTGGCAAGAATTAAATCCTAATATACAGCAACAAGAATTAAGAGGAAAAGGGTCAATATATTTTTTTACTTTAAAGCCCAGTAATCTCCCTTCAGAAAGCTTAATACAGCTAGCTTTGGGCTTTCAACCACAAAACTCCAGTCAAATATTTTACCATAACATTAAATCAAAATGTAGGTACTGGATTAATAGGTACTCTGAACCCACCCACCAGGTTATACATACTCTCACTCAATCATGTAAAGGATTGAATTCTTTATTTGTGATATCCATAAACGTTGCTATTCTGTATGTCTATCCAGGAAGGCAATTTTCTCTGGTATCACTGTTCTGTTTTGCTTTTTATAAACAACAACTTGAATTCTATTGCATGAAAGGGCTACAAATACACATTTGTTAACCAAGCAGAAAACACAGATATTTTGCTTTACAACTTGCACCTAAGATACCAGTACACGAAGCTGGTTCATTAGTCGCCATAGCAATATGGGGCCACTGCCCAAGCTATGCATAGCAGTTTACATTTTCAAATCTCATGTAGAAAGGGCAATTGTGATATTGACTGTTAACTACATTCCTGTAAATCCCATCTTAGTTACAAGTAAATGTATAACCAAAGTCTGCACAGATTTTTGATGGCAAAACTTCTAAATCTGACGCAACTGTCCTAAACAAGTTTTTAAACGAATTGTTTTGCAGATATACTGCCATTCTGCCAGTAGATGGTGCCACAAAGGTTGGAGGAAGGATTTCCATAAGGACAACAGTTCAGCTAGAGGGGAAAAAGAAAAACGTCTAAACCTGCTCTGAAAATACAAAAACGCTTTTAGTTTGAGGATAAAATATAACCCTTATTTGTAACCATTCATTACAGACAAACCAGTAAGAGGGATGAAACTAGTCCATCTGAAATTTTTTTAAACAGTTCATATGAATGAAAACACATGCTTAATACAAACTATTTCTTTAGAACTACACGGTACATACTTTGAGGTAAATTCTCATAGAAAGAAGTGACCATGTCAAGATGATAAGCAAATTACTTAGTACAAGAGATGGATGCAAAGAAACTAAAGATTTTAAAAAGCCACATCCACCACTTCAAAAGTTTTACCTGTAAGGGATAAAATTCAACACATCACTACCAGGGCAACAGCAAGAAGAAAAAAAAAACCCACAGGACCTTTTAAAAGTTTCTCGAAGTACACATCAAGAATTAAGAATTAACAAGAAAATTTTTCAACTAACATCCCTTAAAACGGTACGGAATGGATCCTAAAAAAAAATGTTAGACATGTACGGTCAAACACAATGATTTATTAAAAATAAAACGTAAAAATGATTTTTGTACATATGCTTCCAAATTTCGGGCATGGGATCCAAGGAGATTTCATAGAAAACGCTGTAGCCAGATATCAAGTCCTTACAACAAAGTAAACTAACCCGCCCAACCCCCGCCCAGGTTTTGCTACAGAATCAGCAAGTTCACTCCCTCCCCCCAAAAAAAACACAAATTAAAACAAGACATCTTGCTAGTATAAAAACGACCAAGGTCCAAGTAATAATAAAAAAATAGAGTCCATCAATGACTGTAACACAAAAATGTGTATGTGGGGCCAAGTCCATCTTCAGAGGGAGACAAGGGAGGTGGCAGGCAAACAGGGCAACACCCCCAAGGGTGAACAGCCTAAGAAGTGGCTTCCCCAAGGGCAAAACGGGGAAGGCGGTGGGAGGGGAAAGGACTTAGGAGTCGACCCTAGTTGGGCGGTTGAAAACAGCTACCCCTATAGCCACTCCCAGGCATTAAAAAAATTTTAGAAGGAGCTGCCTCCATACCCACCCCCACCGCCATAGCCACCTCTGTAAGGTCCACTGTTACTGCGACCTCCCCAGCTGCTGCCTCCTCCACCGCCGCCGCCACCGCTCTTCATGGGCCCATAGGACGACTGGTGCTGGCTGTAGCTACCGAAGCCGCCGAAGCCGTTACCGTAGTCGCTTCCACCGTAGGACGAACCGCCTCCGCCGCCTCCGTAGGCGTTGTAGCCACCGCCGCCGCCGTAACCACCGTAGCTGTTGTAGCCGCCGCCGCCCTTAGACAGGCCGTTCTGGTCACGACCACCGCCCCGACCCCGACCGCCCCGGCCACCCCGGGAGGAGCGGGAGCCGCCTCCGCCCCCACCGGAGTGGATATCCTCCTTGGGGACAGCCTTCTTCACCTCCACGCGATGGCCCTGGATCGGATGGAACTTGACCACCGCGGCCTTGTCTGCCGCGTCGTGATTCTGAAAATACACGAAGCCGAAACCACGCTTCTTGCCAGACTGCTTGTCGGCAATAATCTCGGCCTTTTCCACGGTGCCAAACTGCGAGAAGTGCTCTATCAGGTCGCCCTCGGCCACGTCTCCCTTAAGGCCCCCGACAAAGAGCTTCTTCACCTTGGCGTGGGCACCGGGCCGCGCCGAATCCTCCCGGGACACCGCCCGCTTCAGCTCCACCGTGTTGCCGTCCACGGCATGGGGCGAGGCGGCCATGGCGGCATCGGCCTCCTCCACATTGGAGTAGGTCACGAAGCCAAAGCAACGGGAGCGCTTGGTCTGGGGGTTCACCACCACCACGCAGTCCGTCAGGGTCCCAAAGGCCTCAAAGTGGCCGCGCAGGCCCGACTCACTCGTCTGCACGTTGAGGCCGCCGATGAACAGCTTACACAGCTGGGAATTCTCCATCTCCACGGCCCGGGCCTTCCCCCCGCCCTGCGAGCTCCGAGGTTTCGCCGTCGCCGTTATCGTTAGCTAAGGCTTCTTCACAGCTTGGGCCCAGCCGTCGCTGGAGCCGCCCCCGCCGGTCACCGACGGGGAAGGGAAGAAGGGAAGGGAAGGGAAAGAGGAAGAGAGGAAGGGGAAGGGAAGGGGAAAGGTGCCGGCTAGAGGGCGAGCCGAGGAGAGTTGAAGGCAAGCGAGGACGCCGCTACCGCCACCTCCGCTCCCTTATCTGGGCACCACACAAAGAGGCCGCTGAACGCGCGCGCACCCTCGCCGAGGCGTGCGTCACCGCGGACGTACGACAGCCCAGGGCTGCCCGCCAATCCCCGCCTCGCTCTCATTAGTCCCGCCTACCGCGCTGCCGCGCCGCTCTAGGTCACGGACTCCCCGCCCTCCGCGGTCTATTCAAGCCCTCGGCCTACGCTGCTCCCACCACCGCCTCTACCGCCCCGTTTTCAACCCCAGGATCCTCAGTTCGCCCTGACTAGGGACTCTCCCTGCACTTAGCGAACCTTTGCGATTCATTTGCCCCCAGCCCCGCGGCTGTTCCCGGTGATTTTCCCCCTCCCCTAGCCGTGTCCCCTCGCCAAACTCCGCAGTGGCGTTCGCGCCAGCCCCTTGAGAGACGTGTCAGCTCAGCCAATCACGGCGATCCGCTCGCACCCACTTCCGTTTGCGGCAGCTGCTGGACGGGCGCGCTCCCCGGTGCGCGCTGGCCCCGGCGCCCCTAGCGTGCAGAGCTCGCTTGCCACCCCCACGCCTCCTCCCGCGCTGGGCTGGCCGCGGGGTGGGAAATGGGGGAGGGGTCGAACAGGGGACGCGCTGGGGGACGTTCCCAACGGATGCGGCCTGGGGCGGCACGCGCGGGCTTTTTGAAAACTTGACTGTTGGGGTTGGGGGTCCGGATTTATTTGCCGTGTTTCGGTCGGGCCGCTACACCTGGCGTCCTCGCCCCTCCCGTCCGCACAAAGATGGAGGGAAGAGGCCTAGTCGGGGAAGGCAGTTATTAACCGTTTATAGTGGGCCAGAGCGGCGATTAGACTAAAACGCCGGCACGTGGCCCTGCGCAAAAGAGAGCCCGAGGCCATGTGAAGGACAGCAGCGCGCCTCCAGACTTGCCGACCAAGGCGTGGCGCGAAACCCCCGCCACCCCTAGGCCGTCCGTGAAGCCCTCCCGCGACACTCCTCTCGGTCTCCCTTCGCGCATTCAGACAGAGGACATTTTCATATTACCCCAGTGTACACATATTTTTTTCTTTTTTTTTTTTCTCGCGGTACGCGGACCTTTCACTGTTGCGGCCCCTCCCGCTGCGGAGCACAGGCTCCGGACGCGCAGTCTCAGCGGCCATGGCTCACGGGCCCAGCCGCTCCACGGCATGTGGGATCTTCCCGGACCGGGGCACGAACCCGTGTCCCCCGCATCGGCAGGCGGACTCTCAACCACTGCGCCACCAAAGAAGCCCGGTACACATATTTTTATATGTTTACGTTATCTGTGCGAGCTTCCTTCCCAACTAAAACGTTAGGTTTTGGGGTGGTTTTTTTTTGCGGTACGCGGGTCTCTCACTGTTGTGGCCTCTCCCGTTGCGGAGCACAGGCTCCAGACGCGCAGGCTCCGGCCGTGGCTCACGGGCCCAGCCGCTCCGCGGCATGTGGGATCTTCCCAGACCGGGGCACGAATCCGTGGCCCCCGCATCGGCAGGCGGACTCGCAACCACTGCGCCACCAGGGAAGCCCAGACGTTAGGTTTTTAAAGGAGTTTCCAATAGGACTGGGAGCCGAGAGAGTTAAACACATGAACACTGTATGTTAAGTATTACGCACCCCTGAGAACTGCCTTACGGACCCAGATGGGAATGCAAGAAAGTTACAGTGGCTTCCATTTATTGAACCTTTTGTGTGCCAAGCAAGATACAAGGAGTGCGACACGGTGTAAGACATGTGACCGAAAGCCCAAAAACCATGTGGTAAATTAGAAGAGGAATTCCTCACTGTATCCTGGAATGGAATGTATTCAGAAATGATTAAAGAGGTAGAAGTTGCACTGAATCGCAGAGTCAAAGGCTAGATAAGATTTCTATAGGGAGTTTATCTGAACAAAATCTGGAGGAAATTTATAAGCTCCCAGGGACAATGAGTAGACCAGTTTGACTGGATCAGGAGGTTTTTGACATTAAAAAGTAAAATAAGGGTCTTGGTATTATGGAATGTTTTGAAATTTAGATTAAGGAGTATGAATATTATTTCAGAGGCATACAGATAGGCTTCCAAGTTTGGGGACAATCTATAGTCTGGCTCTAACACCTACTAACCATGTGACCATCAAGTTGTGTGACTTCAGACAGGTCACCTAACCTTTTTAAAATTAAATTATTATAAGTTTTATTATCTGAAAATCAGAACATAAAACATCTACCCACTGTGATAAAAATTAAATGAGATTCTGCATGTAAACGCAGAGCACAGTGCCTGGCACATAGTAAGTGCTCAATTTATCCAATAAATACTGTACCGAGTGCTGGGAACAGGGCAGTAAACAATAGACAAAAATCTCTGCCCTCATGGAACTTATATTCTTGTGGGGAGAAGCAGACAATAAATAAGAATGGTATACAGCATGTTTGATAGTGATAAGTGCCATTGAAAAAATTAAAAGAGAAGGACAATAGGAAACTACTACCTTGTCATTACAAAACACAATTCAGGTAAGTCAGGATTTGCTAACCAATTGATAAAGAATGAGGAAAATAAAAGCATTCCAGTGTTTGAAATCTGGAAGCCAAAAACTGCAGCATAATAGTGTAAGGCCAACTGGCCCGAGGCAGGGGAACACAATCAGATTCACAGGTTGCATCAGACCGAAACTCTCCGGACCACCCAGTTCCAAAAACTGACCTGGAGACTTTCCGGACCACCCAGTTCCAGGAACTGACCTGGGGACTTTGAACCCAGCCCAGCCTTCCCGCCTTTCGAGGGGCGGGACCAACGGTCCCCCAGGATACCCGAAAAGACCACCAAATAAGGAATACCCTGCGCCCTCCCAGATTCACCACACCCCTTTCCCTTCTTCCCCTATAAAATCTTGCCCAACCCTCGCCCGGGTGCGACTTCTCTGGCCCGTTTCTCTCGGACCAGTGAACCTCGCCCGGGAGCGCTCCCTAATAAAGCTCTCTTGAAGCTTTCCTCTGTTTCGCGGTGCCGTTTGTTAAGATCCGACCTTACAAATAGAACTAGAAAAATCTAACAAAAGAAACTATTTTGGAGGAAGTGGGGGAGATGATGAACATAGTTGTTAATGTTTAAGGTGATACTGGGATATTCATGTGGCACTGTTTTCTGGGATGCCCAAGACTATAGGTCAGATGAGAGATTAGACCTGAAGGAATTCAGAGTCATCCAAATAAATGTAAAATAGTAAAAGGTGAATTTCTGAAAGAGAATAAGACCATAACTTATTTTTCCATCTAAACTGTAAATTCTAAAGTAACAGTTTTTTCCTACATTGTTTTGAAATAATCCTCCATACCACCTTATTGAGGACCCATTATTGGTTTAATTTCTATTGACTAGGAAAGCTTCAAAGAAATGTATGTCTAGTATAAGCCTTACATATAGAAGGAGGATAGGGATGGTGGGAGACAACACAAGCATGTTTGAGAGACATTTAGAAAACCAGGATAAATGCAAGATAATTGGGATGTTAGATTCTTTTCAGAGATTACATTGGTAAAGGTAGGGACAGTGAATAAGCAGTGTTATATAAACACTTAAATGATGCTGTCGCTTTCCTACCCCTCAGATCATTCAGGAGAAAAACATTTTTTTTTCTACTTTACCTTTTAGATCATTGCCTGAGTATGGTTCTTGGCTTTACCTTGCTTACAGGTATGTCAGCCTTCCAAAACAAAAAAGTTTAAAAATATAACTGAAATTTAGACCACCTTTGTTTTCCATCCCTCCTACAAATGTGATTACAAAAACCTAACTGAATATGGTGTTTAAACAACTCATAGAAATGCACAATAAAAAGGGCATATTTGGGCTTCCCTGGTAGCACAGTGGTTGAGAGTCCGCCTGCCGATGCAGGGGACACGGGTTCGTGCCCTGGTCCGGGAAGATCCCACATGCCGCGGAGCGGCTGGGCCCGTGAGCCATGGCCGCTGAGCCTGCGCGTCCGGAGCCTGTTGCTCAAAAACGGAAAAGGAAAAAAAAAGAAAAGCCCCCCAAACCAAAAAAAAAAAAAAAAAAAAAAAAAAGGCATATTTTACTGTACCTAAATATACCCAGAAAAAGAAAAAGAGAACTAGAGAAAAGGAAAAAGAATGAGCTGAAGAAGAGGGGGGAAACTATGGCCAGCTATATTTTCAGAAAGCAGCAACTCTGCTTTTTTTTTTTTTAAGTCAACTTTTTATTATATCCAAGAGTTTCTTTTTGCAGTTAAGAGTTCTGTTGTGGCCTGAACTGTGTCCCCACCCTCCCCTCTATATTCATATTTTGAAGCCCTAGCCCCCAGTACTTCTGAGTGTAACTATAATTGAAGATAAGGTATTTAAAGAGGTGATTAATTTAAAATGAGGCTCTTAGGATGGAGCCCTAATCCATATGGTTAGTGTCCTTATTAGAAAAGGAAGAGACACCAGGGGCATATGTGCACAGAGCAATGACCATGTGAAGAGGCAGCGAGAGGGTGGTCATCTGCAAGCCAGGGAGAAAGATCTCAGAAGAATTCAACCCTGCTGGCACCTTGATCTTGGACCTCCAGCCTCCAAAAGTTGGAGAAAAAATTTCTGTTGTTTAAACCACATATTCTTTGGTATTTTGTTATGGCAGCCCTAGCAAACCAATACATGTTCCATTTTTATTTACTCAAGGTACTTTCCAAAAGGGCAGTCTGCCATTTGTGATGAGGTACAGTCTTTCTAATGGACTCTTTAGCAACTCACATCAACAGCCTTAAAATCTGACCCATTCTTCTGAACCAGTAATGATGCTTCTGGAAATTTATCCTAAGGAAATAATTGAGGATCTGTGTAAGAGTTCAGCTACAACATCTCAATACTGTTTAAACTAGAAAAAAAAAAGGAAACTATCTAAATGCCTCCAAATAGCTAACTAATTAAACAAATAAGGAAATAATTAAGTAAATAGTTCAGGTAAGAATATTATGAAGCAGTTAAATTGATACTATATAGGAAAAAAAGTGACTGGTACTTGGGTATGAATCTTACACCATTATGATGATGTGTGAAAGGTCACATT